AGACCTGGATAATTGTGGGTTAAAATCTGTACATATTAATTACCCAATTTGCATAATTAACCAATTTTAAGCTTTCACACTGATATCTAAAGTACTAATTTCCATTTTAATGAAACTTAGTACAAATATGCTCTAGGACAATGTACAAACCTAATTAGTTTGGGGTAAAACTCTGTTCATATTATTTCCCTAATTAGCATAATAATTCATAATTTTTTGGTTCTAATCACATTTCAATTAAACTTGGTACATAGAGTTTTTGTTACATTGCGCAGACCTCATTAGTTTTACAATCAAATCTGTTCATGTTAATTTTCTGATTTGCATAATTAGTTTTCAGCTAAGTAATTTCAAATTATATTTAATGTGTCTCCAATACTCTCAGCACATGGGAGTTCTTTCTAAGCTTTCTTTGATTTTTTTTTTTAAACCCTTAACCTGTACTATACAGTTATTGCTGCTAAAAGTATGGAAAGTGACTATCGGCCAACAGTGAAGAATGTCAAGGGTATGCTGGCAGAGTATAATAAAATTATACAGGATAGTGTCGGCCGTGGTCTTGGACATTAACTCCAATTTTATCAAAGTTTATTTGCTTTTCCTCATTAGGTATCAGTATCTTTTATTCCTTTCGAAAGTTATGTCCAATTCACATATGACAGTGATTTAACTGAAATTGAATTCTTTGGGAATGTGTCTTACAGGTCTGTTACACTGAGGAATAATACGAAAAAAAAAATGTGTTTTAATGCCAGTGTTTAGTTTGTGATGGCCATTACAGTTTACTAAATACTGAAATTTGCTGGTAATTCCAAAATCTGTATTGTAATGTAGGTTAACTTGTATTTATTACAGTGTTATCTTATGTAAGAAAAACAAGACAGGGAATTGTTGACAAAGATCAAATCAAATGTTCCATTAGTGTAACCACCACTATGATTTGAAACAGTATTGAATTGTTCTCTTATGTCAACACTCTCTGCAATGTAAATATTTAAGTAATCCCCACTGCATTCAATCCAACATTGTAAACTCACAGACTGGTATTTTATCCCTATTTAAATATAATGGAAAATACATGTGTGGAAGGTACAGTACATGTGTGCTTTCACTTGTACATATATGAATATGCATAAATACTGCTGTATAAATTTGAATAAATCATACTCTACTTTGTTTATCAAAATGCAATTAAACACAAATTTTATGTTAAAAATAGTCAGTTATCCTCTTTATCTGTCACTATTCAACTTTATTGACAAACCTTTCAAAAACTCAGCAGTTGAAATTTATGCTTAGTGATTCTTTGCATATTGCTGTAAGTGACAAACCATTAATTCTGTCTTGGAAGTAGTTTGTCTGCCAGACTGCTGAAACCATCTAATTTTGAATTATTTCACAATATAAGGTAGTACTGTTTTATACTGTTAATATTAAATGTTTCAAGTGATATTTTAGTTCTTTACTCCAAGGTTTGTTGCAACTGGATATGATATTCAACAATTCTATTACTTTGAATTAAATTGAGATTGAGTATATGTTACTGTCATAAATCTCAAAAACAATTTAATTGTTAGTTGGTTTTTGTTTGAGTGTTGATTATTTGAATAGTATTTAGAATAATTTGTTGAAAACTTTGATGTAAAGATTGACTTATAAGAACTATATATGACGTCAAGTTCATATTAACAATTTGAAGCGCAATGTCAAATATATATATTTTGTACTTAAAAGTTTACAGAAGTTTATATTAGGTAGCCTATGCAAGTAGATGAATTGTTTCTTCTGTCATATAAAACTTGTACATGCCGCAACAGAAGTTCCAACTTTTATGTTCTTCAAAAGCTTTTTAAGCTTGCATCCAGCTGTAAATCGGCAGGTTATTCATGCGTTGTATTTATTTGAGTTGTTAGAAGTGAGTGGTATGCTTTTTGAAGAATTGTAAATATTTAATGTGACTCTTTACACTTCTGTGAAGCCTTCATCTGTAATCAATCTATACCGTCCTGTCTGTCAAGATGCAATACAGAATGTACTCTTCAAGTCCAGTACAAAACGCTGAGGATTTCCATATTTGTGTCAATAACTGTACTGTTCTTGTGCTTCCCCCCCAAAAAAAAATTGGATCTGCTAATAAAGCATGTGAAATAATTAATCTCGTGAAATGTGTCTATTATGTATAAAGTTATTTTGATACTGCCCAACGTGTGCTTACAAAATCACCTCTATCTATTGTAAGCACATGTAGCAACTAGGGGTATTGAGGGTAGAAATATAACATCATACCAAATGTCAAGTCAATATTGCCTTCAAAGAAGTATACACCTAACATGTAATGTTGAGTGTTTTGAAAAGTGTGATCGCACCCTGTATAAAAATGGTTCTATATTGGCAGTGTTCATTAAGTGAGGCCCCAGATCATTTATGTAACCAAATTTCTACAACCCTTCAATGTTGTGAATTCGTGTAGCATAAAACAATGTTCAAGACTGCATTTGTTATCTGTTTAACATAACAGTATTTCAATAGAAATCACAGGCATATTACGAACATACAAACACGCAAGACGAGATTCAAACTCTTGACCATGGCAATGTGCCTTGCCACTGTAAGCAGATTACTAAGTCACAGTAAGCGCCGAGAAGACAGATCTCAGTGGCGAGTAGTATACGCATACTTTAAGCGGCTAGATGCAACATGCTTACAAGTCGAGTCTCTGATGTCACATACATATAAACTGAGTAGTCCTGGTCAGTATAAGCTATTCAGTTACGATTGTCCAGGTGAAAAGTTTTGTTGTATTTTTATTGGTTGTTGCCGTGTTAATACTAAAATTCATGTACTTTTGGTTTGAAGATGCCTGCACCGTACGTTTTATGACATCATGAAATGACACATCCCATAATGCCGTAGAGCAACTTGTCAACGTTATTGCACTGTCTCTCATTTACTGGGTGGCTTGTATGATTTGTGATTGATCAAGACTTGTGGTTAACGAATAACGCGTCACATTGGGCTTCAATAACCAAAGTCATTTATCTCCTGAATGGCTTTCTGTGTGCTATAGGTGCAGTTGGCAAGTGTCGACAATGAGTCTCCCAAGTCAGATAAACTATACAGTCGTGACTACAATTCTGTCTTTGACAAATCTCTCTATGAGTCAACATAATCTTTTAAAGGTAATACTTGGCTAATGTCCGAGTCAACAAATTTTGCCAGTAAACTGATAATGTTCGAAACTGTAAAAGTGGATCACACCACACTGTGATATTAGTTTGTCTACATCACCTCTTCGAAAGGGTTGAGCTTGTCTAAATCACCGCTTTAGTTATGATGTGGAAATTAAATGTGATATTTTCAATGTTCAACCTGAAATTGTCCCGAAAAACCTGAGATTCAAAAGTTGCATAATTAGACCCCGTATCCTTATATTCTATTTGAATTTACAAATTCATTTCTAATATAATATATATATTTTTCGTTGCAAAATTGTTGTAGGCAAGCCCCCTTTCCCAAACAAAATATTGATTTAAACTCTGTCCTCGATTCCTAGCAATTTGTGTGTTGATGAAACATCGGAATATATGCTGCTTATAGTCCACACTATTTGGAAGTCTTCATTTCAGCAACTGAAATATAATGCAGTCCCAGATTAAATTATATATACACTATAAACTATAAACCAATCATCTTTCTGTAAACATTTTATGTTTCTGCTCCTCTGCTCCAACTACTTTAGATTGCTGAGATTCAGTACTTTTACCATCTTTTTCTGTTCTGCATTGTTATACATATTGCATATTGGAAATAATAATGTTTAGTAGAAAATATGAAAGCTGAGTGTGCCAGTCACCAAATAGACAGTCATTGCTGCCCTAACCATCTGAAAATTAACCATATAGACTTCAAATAAAGTACAACTACAAAGGGGAAGGTCGGTACTCTTAGTGAGGGACAAGCGTCCAAAACCATTGTCTTGAATTCGTTTAGAAGCAGGTGCGACTTTCAGTTAATATTGACTACGGTCTGAAGGTGACTGTGAACAAGCCTGAAATAAGATTTACTAATATGTGGTTTTCAATTCGTTCATAGAGTCAGCGAGTCGACAGTAAATTACCCAGTGCCCAGACTGTCGTTAGGCCCAACAATTACATCGACTTGTTCAACTGTATACAAACGATTCTGAATAAGCGTCGTTTGGTTTCAGTGAACAGTCAAGTTTTACGAGTGCTGAGGTAGAAACTTGTATGTTTCCCTGATTTGGCATTCATTCCATGAAGTCAAGTTTATTGCGAGAACAGTCTAAGGCTACCTCGTAATCAATGAGTCACTCGGTGATTGCCAACAACTTCCCAGTGACTTATGATTAATTTAATTCATCGTCTTATAGTTTCCGGGATGAAGAATTCTCAAGAGGTGTATTACTACTAAGAGGGGGATCGATTCAATAAAACTCTGGTTATTGATCCCATCAGTCGCATTATACTGATATTGTTCTTAATGTGATTTGGTGTTTTTTCCATAATCAATACAATTTGTAACGTCAGTAAATTTGCCGCTACTTACAGGCTGTAATTCAGGATTTTTGAACTACGACATTATCTACATGACAATGGTGTTGTAAATTCCTGATCTATATTTATTGTTGGTCGTGACAGGGCCATATGTGAGTATTGAACAATATGGCATGTGAATAAGATCGTGACAAATCGGATCATTCGGGTAAATTTCCAAACTAGGTAGGCCGGTAGGTCAAAATGCATATGCAAAAGATATAAAGTACCTTGGTATACATTTAAATGAAAGCAAACAATAAAGCCTACCCATTAGTGGTACAATGTAATGTCTCTTAACGTCAATTACTCGTTTTTAGATTCCATTTAAAGGTAGGATGTTGTTGACCCGCATTTCGTTATCGGACAATAAGGGCTTTTTTTTCGAACAGAAACGAATACCGTTTGATTTTGGAGCTGTATTTTAGTGGTAACTAAATCATAATTAACTGAATGTACCTTTTGATTATGAATTCGACACTTATAGTTTGTTTGATTGTCTAACATCATGTGTACTCGCAATTTATCAAGTATTGATCACATGAATGTAGTCAGTGATGCACATTTTAATAATTGACGACATACCGTAGTTGACGCCTGCTAATTTAAGTTCAACTATAGCTGAATATTGTAGATGTTCATGGTTATGCGTGATTTGACCACTTAAAGACAGGGGAGAATACAATGACAATTTATTCTAGTTAAATAGCAGGCAAGCTTCTTCTTTGAAAGATCAATCTTAACTTTTCAAGTAATTTTAATGTGTATCCAATACTCTCACCACACGGGAGTTCATTCTAAGTTTTCTGTGATTATATTTTATTCCCCGCTGTTAGAAATTCATGCAATAACGTGGTTTATACGGATTTGTCATACATCGTTATTGTGGTTATTTTTATTTCTGTATTTTTGTTTTATTCAATACACATATCAACGGGCATGTCCACTAAATATTATAGCCTACAAACACTACAAAGAGAACAAAAAAATGTATAACAATAGATATATATAAAATTAAAGAGTACTATTAAAATGATTCTGTGAAAAAAATCAATACCAGATTTACTAGAAATCTTATTGAACGCAATCATAACATCCAGGAATAGATGAATATTGTCTAATATTGACTGTAATATTGAGTCTAATTTAAAAATTCTTTTATATCCA